ACGAGTCCCAGGAAGTAGTCTTGAAGAAGGAGACACGATCGCCGGGACAAGAGCTTTATTAGCCTGACGTTTCGGATTCCTACTCGAATCCATCATCAGAGACAAAAAAGCAGAAACGGGTGGTTGCTGCACAAGGGGCTGCGGTATTTATAGGATGCAGTAGCCATTCTACCGCATACCTATGAACATTCACGGCTCCCCCCTTCATCCGAGATCGTCGCACGTGGTGTGATCACTGCTTGATGACCGACATTCGAGTCGATAATTGCTGCAATTTCATCACGTGCGTTGGATGTTGGCGTGATGATTGCTCGACCATCTGACGCGCCGACCCCGGTGTTGGGAAAATTGTTCACCTCTGCGCTCCCCGCATGGCTTGTTACTCCGCCTAGACGAAATTTTAGCACACAGTATGGAGTGGGAAGATCGTTGCACTTGTTGATGGACTGGGGGCAAGTAAACCATGATTCCAGTAGCTCCCGGCTCACGCGGTTGTCACCTCTTGCGAGAATTTCGGCCTCATAGAATTTGAATGTGTGGCCGGATCTCGTCGAATAAGCCGCAACTTGAGAGCTGGCGTCATTTCTGCGCACCGCTGCCGCGTGTTCGGCCATTTTCGTTCGGAGCTGTCTTCCGGTTTCTCCAAAGTGGTTGCTTTGTCCGCAACTGCACCAGATCCGATAAACGACTCCAGACGTTTCTAGCCGTGGCAGTGGGTCTTTCGGTTTCATGACCAGACGCCTGATGGTTGCCTCCGATCTGTGTGGTGGTTGCGCAGAGGTAAACACTTTTCCCAACGCCGGGGTCGGCGCGTCAGATGGTCGAGCAATCATCACGCCAACATCCAACGCACGTGATGAAATTGCAGCAATTATCGACTCGAATGTCGGCCATCAAGCAATGATCACACCACGTGCGACGATCTCGGATGAAGGGGGGAGCCGTGAATGTTCATAGGTATGCGGTAGCATGGCTACTGCATCCTATAAATACCGCAGCCCCCTGTGCAGCAACCACCCGTTTCTGCTTTTTTGTCTCTGATGATGGATTCGAGTAGGAATCCGAAACTTCAGGCTAATAAAGCTATTGTCCCGGCGATCGTGTCTCCTTCAAGAACAAATGATGCTTATCTCGGCCTTCTGACGAAATTTAACAACAAATACAGAAAGTAATTCTGTACTTACGGTGTCAACGGCAGAGTCAGAGACAGCAGTCGCGAAATGATATTCAAGTAGAAGCAGTTCTAATTGGACCTCAGAGTAATGCCGTTGTGCACAGCCAGGCTCTATTGGGGTATATCGGATGCCAGTAGACGCAGAGCATAGGGTACTCACTGCACCGTGTCCGAAAGTTTAATGCCTTTTCAATCCCAGAATTTCACGAAAGTGGATGCCGAATGACATTAGGTCAGCCCCTTACATCGCAAAACAGGTGCAAAACACTTTCCTGCTGTTAAAGTCATTTATAGATGCCTACAGATTTCCTTTATGGCCTTTTTACCCAGATAATAACTTGCACCCTGATTTCAAAACGCAAAAACAACAAAAAGGAGAATC